CGGAGCATTTACTGCGAAACAAAAGTGTAGGTGTGAAAGCACCCTAAAATGTTGTGCAACTTACAGTTTTAAGCGGTAGTAAAACCTGTACTGTATTTTATTTATCAAAGATTTTGTGCAGCTGTTTATTTGTAAACAAAGAGGGAAACCCCTGTGTTTGAATTATAATTTGTCCAAAAACTGTTTAACATAGTTTTAATAAAGGCTTTAACTCTCAAGTAACTATTTATGGAAAATACTGGATAAATAATGTATATCGTCATTCCGTCATTCATGATTTTTTGCCCATATCGCCCAGCCCTAGGTGTTTCCCAGTTCTGGGTTGTGGCTGGAAGGGCATCCGCTGTGTAAAACATATGCCGGAATAATTGGTGGTTTACTCCGCTGTGATAACTCCTGATAGATAAGGGAATAAGCTGCAAAAAAAAAAAAAAAAAACGAACGAATGAAAAATACGTTGTTATTTTTGTAGAATGAAAAGCCAAATTTTAGACTTGGCTGACAATAAAGTTTAATTAATCAATCAGTCAACAATATTGCATGTTTTCCAGTATCTTGCAACCTTAATTAAGTCTCATTTTGTGCACTAGAATGGTTTAACTAGCTTGTGTGCCAGAGTATTAACCAATTTGGTGAGCAACATAGATTAATCCATGTAAATTTTTTAAATTAGTAAATCGATGAATAATTTCCTGAAATGAATTCGATTCATTTATTTATGTATGTTATTACACAATAACACTAAATTAAATAGCCTAACGGTGACGGTCAGGACTGCACCAATAATGCTGTCTTTTTGTGTCTGTCCTTCATCTTTTCGTGTCCTTTATTTGATTACCCCATTTCCCTTTCCATTCTTCTCTCATTTTTTCTTCAAACGTCTTTGCTTTTTGCACTGACATCAGCAGCCGAGTAAAGTCATTTGCGTCATTTGTGAACGCAAGCATGTTATGTGGATGGAAATTAGCAAACGGGCGTCCTAAAAGCCCCTGCTCGCCATCATAACGAGACGCAGATCTTTCGATTGAAGACGGAACTGTTTTACGGCACGATGGACTCTTTGATAAGACATCTCTAATGGGCTTGATCCATCTCAAGACAAAGTGAGCATCTCTTTAATTGCTTTTGAAGTGTTCGCTCACTAATGAACGAGAATCGCCTTCATTACAAAGATTTCAAGACAATAGCTCCACTTTTAGACTTTGGGACATTACTTTTTATGTACAACGGCTTGCAAGTTTCACTTAAAGGAATAGTTCAGCCAAAACTGAAAATGACTTCACTTGAAATAAACCTATTTGAGTTTCTTTCTTCTGTTGAACACTAAAGTTATTTAGAAAGACGCTTGAAACTTTAATCTTTGACTTCCATTGAATGCGTTTAGCATACTATGAAAGTCAAAGGTTACAGATTAACAACATTTTAAAGTATCGTTTTTTGTGATCAACAGAATAAAGAAACTCTTAAAGGTTTGGAACCATTTGGGTGCTTAAATAGTAGCTACGTTTTCATTTTTGGGTGAACTGTCCCTTTAAACGCAATAGGAAGATAAGATGTCTTGATGGAAGATTTTGCACATTACAAGATGGAAGAGGCGCTGAAGATAAATCAAAAGAATCTTGATGAACTCTGGGAGTCCTGCAAGAATGATTTCTTTGCTATTCCAGATGACTTTATTAATTATAATTTATTTGAGTCATTGCAGAGATGTATGGATGCAGTCCTCCAAGCTCATGAGAGTCATACACAATATTCATAATTTTTTCACTGCACCATGACTTTATATACTATACTGTACATTATTTGACAACTTTTATTCTAAAATCAAGGCATGATCATATTTTATTTTGGTCAAATAGGAGAAATATAGAGGCCTTTGCCTTTCATATAAGCCACTTCTGATTAAACAGAAGTTATTATTTGTTGTTTCTAAAACAACAAGGCCTTTGTCAGGTTGTGTACTTATTATTTGTAAACAAAGTTATAATTGTTTTGTTTATTTTAATGTCTGTACAAATGCACTAGTAGAATCTAGTAGAAAAGAACAAATGCAAACATCTTGAATCGTGCATGTCTGTGTATGAAGCTCGTTTAAGATGCAAAACATTAATGTGTGTTTGTTTGTAAAAGTGTTTTTGCTGGCGAGGTCTGCCTCCTGTCGAGAGTGTTAAACTCAGAGATTCAATCAGACACGTGGCCTCGCTCCAGAATGTCTTTTATCAGGCAACAAACTGTCTGTGGTCACCTCATCCCTGCCAAACGCTGACAATATTAGCACTCGCCGAGCTGAAAACTTTCTGATGAAGAGAGAGCAGACAGCCAAGAGAGCTTTATTATATCATAATGGCAAGAATAAAGGATTGAAATGTAGACACAGTTGAGCGTAAATTTAATTCAGATGTTCTGTTTACTCAAATGTGTTACTTTAAACTTCAATGTTGCTGTTTTTCTTTGCATTTGGAGAAGGGGATTTAAAGGGAGTGTTTTTTTTATTTTTTTATTTATTTATTTTTTTTGGTTAATGTAAAATACATGCAAAAACATTTAAATTAGGAATTCCATAAACAGTTCTATAAACAAAATACACACAAAATAAACATAAAACAAACAATGTAAACATAGAATAAGCATATAAAGCAATAAATAAAATACATACAAAAGGAAACAAAGTAAACAGAATAAACAAAAAACTTAAAAATATAAAACATAAAATGTAAAATAAACATAAAATACAAAATATTTTAACCATAAAATACACACAAAATAAACCAAAGTAAACCTAGAATAAACATAAAAGCATAAAATAAATCGAAATATAAAATACACACAAGATGAAACCGAATAAACATAAAATAAAAAACAAAATAGAAAAATATAAAATAAAAATAAACATAAAGAAAAATAAACAAAATACACACAAAGATAAACATAAAATAAACACAGTAAGCATTGAATGGACAAAATAAACATACAACAAAATATAAAATAAAAAACAATATAAACATAAATAACACACAAAATGAACAAACACGAATGCATAAACAAAGTAAACAGAATAAACATAAAAATATTAAAAAATAAAATAAACATGAAATACACACAAAAATAACTAATCATAGAATAAACAATAAACAAAATATTAAATAAAATATAAACATAAAATGAAACAAAATAAACATAAAAATATAAATTAAAAAAACTAAAATGTAAAAACCCTAAAATAAGGATAAACATAAATAAAAAATAAACATAATACACAAAAATAAACAGAACAAAGCATAGAATAAAAATAAAATGAACAAAAAACAAAATAAAATGAATAAAAAAACATAAAATGCACACACAAATAAAATAAGCATAAAAGATAAACATAAATTATACACAAAATAAACAGAAGAAACATAACAAAATAAAAAACTTAAAATATAAAATAAACATTGAATAAAAAGTAAACACAAAATACACACAAAATAAACATAAAAGAACTTATAAAATAAAAAACATAAAATATAAACAAAACACAAAATGAAATTCAGTAAACAGAATAAACATAAAATATTAAATAAACATAAAAAATAAATATAAAATAATAAATGTCAAATAAATGAATAAATGTATGTTATAAGAACAAATTCACACAGAAAATATATTTGTGTATTTTTACAGTAAATTTAAATCTTCAAAGTAAAATGGATAAAGCACACATTTATGAATTTATTCAAATTATTATTACATATTAGATTTATTCTAAATCTATTTAATTCTGTTTTGTAATTGATTGCATATATTTTATGAAAATGTCTAAATGTATTAACAGAAGTTGCATAATAAATATAATAACTTTATATGCATAGTTTACATTAAACTTAAATTAAAACATTTAACAAAACAAAAAATTAATAGATCTTGAAGGCATAACTATGTGCATGCTGTTGTGGTCAGTGTAAAAGTATGTTAATGTGAAGCATCTGCTCTGTGCTTTTGACCCTCTGACACAACAGATTTGACTTTTATGTAAAAAATAATTCATGGCGCTCTTGATTCATCACTGGACACAACTAATTGTTTTTGCACTCACAGCATCAGGAGGGTGATGAGGAATGAGGGTATTTATCAAATATCACATTACCAGAGATATCAGAGCCTTATATTTCCGGCCACAGCTCAGACTTGATTATTTCCGGCTTGTTTACAAGAAGAAAATGATCCTGGCCATCATTTGAAAAGGTGTTTTGATGCACTGCTGCTCAAACACATCCCGAGTGCAATGACCCACTTCAGTTCTGCAGACCTCAAATTACACTTTATTTGTCCACAAGAGCCGGATTGCTTTTAGAAAGTATAATAAAGGTGCTTCAAGTAAATTTAAATGCAGCTAACAGCACTTTATTTTAGATGTGGCTGAAGGCAAATTTAGCCCTCTTCACTCACTCACTTCCCTTTGACTTATTCCCTGCTTTATTAGGGATCCCCACAGCAGAATTATGCCAGATTAATTGGGGGATATGTTTTACACAGCGGATGCCTATCCAGCTGCATTCCAGTACTGAGAGTACAACCCCCAGTGCCAACCCATTTTCAGAATGAGCCTGTGCCGCTATATACATTTCTGGAGAGCGCCAAATACGTTCCAGGAGCTACATTTTTTGCAGTTTTTGTTTTCACAAATTCACCAGAGGTCGCTGTGTACGCTGTGAGATCCTAAATTTCTCTCACAAGTGCCATTCGCGCCTGCTGTTCTTCCGTAAATCCACTAGAGGCTGCTGTCGACTGACTGACTGACTGACCAATCGACTGACCCACCCTCCTCCTTCCCTAAACCCAACCAGTAGTGTTTTCAAAAGCACCGATTCACCAGCGCCCACCTACTTCCCTAAAGCCAACTGAGAGTTTTAAAAAGCAATCCAGAAAAAGATGGTTTTACCAAGTTTTTAGGTTTTACCACATTCTCACCCTGTTATTTACTTCATTTTATTTTTTGGCTTCTGTTTTTGTCTTAGCCTCTTTCTTGAACCACGCTTTGACTGACTCGAACCCCATCATCGTGGTCGACTCCTTTCTGGGTCTCAAGTCCACGTAGGTACATGGCGAGCTACTGGACAAACTGGTAACAGTGAGAAAGCCATCCATATGAAGGTAAGCGATCAGTAGGCCCACCCGGAATCTGCATGCGCAGAATTCTGCAGATTTTCCACAGATTTTTAGCCCATCAATTATTCTTTTTATTTACTTGAGTAAATGTGTGTAAATCAATACTTATTCATTTTTATATTAATTTCAGTAATATTATTGACCTAATGTGAAAATGTTCATCAGATTTATGTATAATGCAGTTTGTACAGTAATATTTTCTGTCTTTTACTAGATATATTATATGACAAACTTGCTTTATTTACCAAATAAAGTGAATCTAATTGGATTTGCATTTTAAACATTAAATAAGTTTTTTAAAAAGATTTTATTTAAAAATATATTATTTTTATTTCATATATTAAGGTTTTAGTTGTGATATTCCCAAAATAATTCTGCAGAAATCCGCAGACTTTTACCAAAATTCTCTGCAGAAATGGCAAAAAACGTCCGCAGATTCCGTCTGGCCCTAGCGATCAGCTGGTAAAGGTGAAAAGGAATGGTGTCATACCTAGGCATGGGACAATAACTGTTTTCAAGGTTTACTGCGGTTGGGAAAAGTCAAGGTTTTAAAACAGCCAATTTTTTTTCTGTAATACTGTTCCCAAGGTATGTTTAAAATTTATATATATATATTTTTTTTTCTTTTTTTATTTATATATTTGTTTTTTTTTTTTGTTTTTTTTTAGGAAAACAGTATCTCCAGCAAAAAAGAACTCCTGTTTAAAATTGTAAAGAAATCCTTTTGAAACTAAAGACGGCAGAAGTCAATGATTTATTACAGTTCCAAAACATTTTTAATATTTCTGTAAATGAAATATATTGTGTTCAAAGGGGTAAAAAAATGTTTATTTACTTTTATTATAATTTTTTGTAACCCAGACATTTAAAAAGTACTTGTTTTAGAGCAGTAATCACAATATCGTGAAACCATGATATTTTTATCCAAGTTTATCATACCATCAGAATCATATACCAACCAGTCCATGCCTAGTCATACTGCCCTGTAGCGTTGGTTTTAAAAGAAACGAAATGCACCCATACATACTTCTGGCTACATAATTTGCAATCTCCATAAATGTATATAGGGCTACACTTTCAGAATGATCTGATCCTATCATATCGGATATGTTGCAGAGTGCTGGGAAACACCTTTACACTCCTATTCACACATACTATAGCCAGTTTATTTGATCCAATACACAAAGTTTTTTCATAGTCTACAGAACAATAGAAGAATTAAGAATTATTAGCCCTCTGTTTACTTTCTCCCCAATTTCTGTTTAACGAAAGAAGATTTTTTCCAGCACATTTCTAAGCATACTGTAATAGTTTCATTAACACATTTCAAATAACTCATTTATTTTATCTTTGTTATGCTGACAGTACATAATATTTATCTAGATATTTTTTCAAGACACTTTTATACAGCTTAAAGTGACATATAAAGGCTTTACTAGGTTAATTAGGTTATCTAGGTTAGGGTAATTAGGCAAGGTTTTGGATAACGATGGTTTGCTCTTAAGACTATCGAAAAAATATATAGCTTAAACGGGCTAATTAATTTGACATTGAAATGGTTAAAAAACTGCTTTTATTCTAGCCGAAATAAAACAAATAAGACTTTCTTCAGAAGAAAAAAAAAATATTATCAGACATACTGTGAAAATTTCCATGCTCTAAACATAATATATATATATATATATTATAGGTATATATTATATGTATATATATATGTGTGTGTGTGTATATATATATATATATATATATATGTATGTATGTATGTATATGTATGTATGTATGTGTATGTATGTATGTGTGTGTATATATATATATATATATATATATATATATATATATATATATATATATATATATATTGGTTTGTTTTAATTGGACTAAAAGGATGACTTGAGCTCATGACTTGACTTCCTTACACATTGTGCTTCCTCCACGCAGTGCACTTGTGGTGATGCTAATGCAGACTGTCAACGCTGTGATGTCAGGAGCAGAGGATAATATTTCCCAGAGGGTTTTGTCACCTCCTGCTGTCAAGAGCCCTCCTCGCAAAAAGATCAATGTCCATAATATGATCTCCCATGAGACAATAGCACTCCCGTAATGTGCACGAGCAGCAGAAAACCACCAAGAAACCGCAACACACGGCTACATTTTCACTTAAAACAATAGGAATGAGCATGGATTTTATCAAGGTGCTTTCAAAAATCCATCTTGCTTTTTTTTGGTATATATTAGCATGATTTATGAGGAAAATGAGCTTGAGTCAACATAGTTTTATGGTAAACGTGCGTCCCTAGAGGTGATTTTTAACTTATGGGAATATGATAGGGGAGATTTAAAATATGCTTGATGAAAGAAGCCCGCTTTGTCAGCGGTTTTCTTACTTCATGTAAGACAGAGTACAAGGGTAATATTTTCGACAGGGCCTTGAATAGAGTCTTGTCAGAGGTTCAGCACGTCTTTAAATTAGCTGGGAGGAGATGTGCAGATAAGCATATTACACATAATGCTAAACGCGCTCGGGAAATGTCAAAGTCACTGCAGTGGGATTCACAGACCGCTCCATTTATTATAATAATACGCTAATGGGATGCTTATTCATCAGGTACGGAACAAAAAAAAAAAAAGAAAAGCAGAAGCATTTTATGAACATAAGTTTACAGAAATATTCAGCCAACAAAAAGTATAAAAACAACAGTATGCAGTAAGGCTGTGCAACACTGTAAAAAAATCCAAATTTTAACAACATGTTACTGTAGTTTTTCACAGGAAATTACATTTGTGTTACTTTACAGGATTTAACTGTAAAAACTGTAAAACAGTAATGTGTTGTATTTATTGTTAAATGAATGCAGGTAGCATGATGACAGCAAATTAGTTACTGTAAAAAGGGCTATATTGCATGTTAATTTAAACACTTTTTTTTTTTTTTATTCAGCATAGACATTAATACAAATTAACGATTATGCTAATATTGACACTTTTTATATAGATTTAGAAAAAACAAAGTTATTGCAGCCCCAAAAACAATTAGGCTACATCTTAAAAATAATTTGGAAAGTAATTGTCCTATTTTTAAAACGACATGAATGTCTTAGTAAATTTTTATTTTTAGGTGCACTGCAACTTTATTTAATTTCATAAGGTTAAAAAATGAACATTTATTGAAAAATGAATGAACATAACTTTGTGCTTAGCCAAAAATATAATAAACTGGAACATAGGTAATTGATTCATAAAACCCAAACACTGTTAAACACCCAAAACGATTTTAAAGTCAGGGTATATGTCAGAATGACTAGCTGAAGAAAGCCTGCGTCACAGTAAGACTTCTCTGCGTCTCAAGTCCACTATCAGTAGCAACAAGCTACTGGCCAAACTGGTCACTAAGGGAAAGCTGTCCACACGGAAGTAAGCGGCCAGCTGGTTAGCGCGAAAAAAAAAAAAAAATGTGTCATACCACCCTTTAGCGTTTTAAAGATGAAATGCAGCCATACATACTTATGGCTACATAATTTGTGGTCTCCAGGAATAGGTTTACGTTTTCAGAATGAGCCTATGTTTGCACAAAACATAAGAAATAGCCAGAAAACATTGTTCTGAGGTGTAATGATCCACTACTTCAGTTAAAACTGAACACTGACGGAAGCTAAAACAGCTGATGGAGTATACACTAACCTGTACGTTATTCATCATTCATCAAGATGGTGCCAAACGGTTAGAAATGCAAAGCTGACTGAAACAAAACTGGCTGAATAAAGCATAGACTAACCTACTTATTATTTAAGACAATGCCAAACAGTAAAAAAATAATAATAAAAATTAAAAATTGCATGGTCACAGACAAGCAGATATTGTACATATGAATGTGGATGTAAGGATATAAATTTGATTGTATTCACTGATGGTCAAGTTTTTTAGAATTCCCAGATGAGCGTGTGTTATTCAGCGGTTGTTATCTTGGCATAGTATGTCTTTTAATGTAATCACCGACCAATCAGCATCGAGTGTTCCAGACAGCGTGTGTATATATTATACTGTTTGAAAAGTATTTTATGTTTTATTAATATTTTTGTACATTTCTAAATTTTTAATCAAACATTTGCTATGATGTTCTGTATAAAGTGGGAAATATGATCACATATTAAAGAAATAGTATTATATTGTGATATAAATCAGGATATATGTTGACTTCTATAACCTCTAGCGTCAGTTTTGAAGTTAAATGGGCTTATAGTATTGCTGAATTGTACTGTAGGTCTACAATATTTTGTTTGTTTTGCTGTTAATTGCTTTCATTTTAATAAAGGCAGCTTTGTTTTTAATCTAATGTTCATAGGCAAGTGAGTTTCTAATTAAATTTGGTTGATTGTAATGCTTTTCTAATGAAGTAGATTTATTAAAGCCACTACATTTTCCTAATTTGATAATTATCTTTCTGTTCTGTTTTGTTTGTATGCAAATAATGTGACAATATATCAGGGTTGGATATTAAACGGAGGCTTGGGGTAAAAAAAAATTCTCTGAGGATCCTTTGTAATGATCATTCACTAATAATCAAATCTTTCCGTAAAAGTAAAATTGATTTTAAGAGCATATTTTATTTATAACTGCCCATCAGAGTCTTCAAAGCCTTAATAATCTAAAGACATCTACAATATACAAAACAATTGTGTATGAATAGTATTCACACTTAAAATTATGAGACGTGTATGAAAAATATAGGCAAACTTATCTAGGCAAGATGTGTACAAGTCATACTTTGACATATATTAAATATTTTAAATATTAAACTTAGCCAGTTAGCTAACATGCTAATAGCAGCACCAAATTCAAAGTAATTTGAAATACAATTTCCACCATTTGTACTCTACATGAAACAGTACAGTACATACGTTGGACTTTCCATACACTGTAAAAAGTGTCTGTTAATTAACTTGTATTTTGGGATTCACAAGTGTTTTCCGTTTTTTTTTATTTTTTTA